ATGGAGAGTGGGGACGGAAACTGCAATTACCCCATGGCAGTACTCAGTTAAAAATGGGTATAGAGCGGCAAACACCTCGGCCCCTGTTATGGACGGCATCCTACGAAGATGGGAGAGGGACTCCTCACTGACAAAAGAGGACTTTCGTTCCTTCAGATGGGCACTCTTCTCCAACCTCAAACCGACTAACCACAGGGCTCTCCAGTGGCAGATTATTCATAGATGTCTGCCCATCCCCGATTGGCTGACAAACAGGACAGACCTGGAGCAGGTGCCAACCAACTGAGATAGTCAGCTGGATCCTCCCAGTTGGTATTATTAAGGTCTTCAGCCAACACGGGTGTGATTGCGCGTGTGAGTGGGTTGCGCGTAGTGTGTTGGACAGTGTTGGTTGTAGACACTACTGTTACTCGATGGGGGTGGGGGAAGATGAAAAGGGAGACCATTGGTCCCCCCGCGTGGCATCGAGCAGAGACTGCTGATGTTCATAGGGGGAGAGGTCTGTAGGGGAGGCAGAGTGACTGGCAAGCTCGGTCGTGATGCTACCATCTGACCCCTGGCCGGTATCGCCCACCTGCTGGTGGGTGCAGCTCCCGCATGCTCCTTCGTTGGAGGCTTGAGCACGGATGTGGATTCCACAGGGTTCCCCGTAATATTATAATGACAATAAAAAAGGCCTGAAAGGCCATCCTGTCCAGAGTCGACATGTACTTGAATTGGTTGGGCTTAAAGAAAAAATAAAAAAGGGAGGCCCAGTTAGTGGCAAATGTTGGGTCCTTGTGTTAGCCGGGCCCCCACCAGCGACCCGAACCCTGCACCCTAAACGCTAGGGCAAAGGGGCAAACATGTCATTACCTCTCTCCACCAAGAGAGACAACCTCCCTTCACCGAAGAGAGGCAGAAAGCTATGCTTGCAGGAACCCTTTGTATAGCCCTTTTTTTTTTCCAAAGCCCAGGGTGTTGTAGAGGCCAAGGACTAGACTTGTGGGTGATCGCTGACTGTGGCAGCCGATGGTTGCCCTGACAGGATAGGCCACCGTCCCTACCCTTCCCCATGTTAATACTCCCAGCACACCCCCTGTTCCTACTATCGTACCTTTTTTTTTGGGGGGGGGGACAAATGTTCCAGTCTAGTCGTGGGGAGCAGCACCGAGGCCATTACTCGGCTTCGGCTGATAATCAATTTGAGAACTATTGAGAACTATTGAGAACTGTTGAAGAAATTCAAGAGAATTAAAGAGAGGTTCAAAAACCAAGAATGACTACTGACCTTTTTTCGAATGCTCATAGCCCCTAGACTCCCGAACGAAACTCTCTAAAACTATCCAACATTGTTTTATTCCCTGTCGAGCTCTCCCAGGCCTCACACTCCCACCCGACACGACTCGCCCCAGCTCCAGCCAGCGTCGTCCCAATAGGAACCCTTGGTTGTCCCTTGGAATAACCACCCCGAAGCATCCTCAAATCTCTTTACCAGGCCTCACGCTCCTGCAGTCAGCAGGTTACAAGGTGACACGTCAACACCGGCCAGCGTCATTCTGGCATCGAACAACCGCAAATCCATGAATGTACCAGTATCAAAAACCTAAAGCGAGTTGCTAGAAGTCCCCAAAATCCTAAAGCATTCTCATAACCATATGTAAACAAACATTTTTTTCAAGATATCCTTGAGATACCGGGGCTATTACCCAGCTTCAGTTTTTTTTACAAGAACACTTAAATTTTGTGTCCCCCAAAGCTCAGATCAAAGAAGCATTCAGAACGAAAAAAACACCTGCCTTAGTACCTTTCAGCAGCCCAACCCTTACTTGCCTCAACCCTTTATCCTGATGCCCAATCTCTACCAGGCCTCATGCCCCCAGCTGCTAGGTTACAGAGTGGCACGACCCACCCCATAATAACCCCCACCTGCTAGGCCACAGGGCAAAGCGACCCGCCCCGGCTCCGCCCAGCGTTGACTAGGCACCAGCTCACCAAAAGACAGATCTCTCTACCAAGTCTCATGCCCTCGTACAGCTCGAGTTACGTCTTTTCACACACCAACAAGACTCAAGACTAAGGCAAATAGCAGCCAAGCCACCAATCAGCACCGTAGTTGTAGATCTCATTATTCGTCTCCTTCATGCACAGGTCGCAGATATCCCCCCAACAAACCCCATGAACCCTATTCCGACAAGTCTTACCACGATAAAGTCACCATCTCCACCGCTATTGTACCCTATAACAACCCTGCAGGCTAGCCCCTTCGCCGCAGAGCGCGTCATCTCCCGCCGTCACAGCCACCACAACCCCCTGCCTCCAGCACCAAACCTTGGAAGAATTTTTCAATTAAGAAAAATTAGGAAAATCAAGCACAAAAAATCCCGAAAAATCACATGAACATTCCAATGCCCACTATTTCCACAGGGAGAGGGGAAGAGAGGGAAAAATAACCCTCTATCCCAATGGAAAATCCAATGCCTATTGAGGTCTCAGTTACATGTAAAGGGGCCACAAGAGCCAAAGGGATTACTCCTCTTTCCCAAAAGACAACCCCTTGTTTGTTTACTGCCGCCGCGGGAAGGCGCCCCCTCGCCTCTCCGCCTCAGCTCAAAACAACCCCTAGAATACCCCTCCTGCTCCCTCAGTCGCATACAGTACCCCCTAAAGTATGCCCCCGCAGAGCAGAAGATCCCCCTTCCTTCCTGCCCCACCCCCTCCAGGTGGAACAACCCTCTCAACTCTCACCCTGCTGACATCAGCACCCCTTGTCCTCTCTTCCCAACCGCCATAGCTGATCCGACCCGAACATCAGCGTGGCCCAAAAAAGGAAAAACTCTCAATACCACCCCCACCCTCTCAAAGATCACACCACCCACCTTGTGTAACCCTCGCAAGGAGGGACTCCAACCCTAAAAGAGATATCCATTCCAACACTTCTGACCCCGATCTGCCAACATCACAGGTTGAGACTCCCTTGCTTAAAACAACAAACGAAGACATAATTACTTGAGTAAAAACTGTTTGAAAAATCCCATGTCGAGTAATAAATTAAAATTTAAAGAAGAATCCCAGATTTCCATCTACAAAATCAGAATATGAATTTCAAAATTTGGGAAACCGAGTTTATTTTTTTTATGAGTCATGCAATCGAAGTTTGAATCATGAATTTAACATCGAATTCGGAAAATCCATTGAGATGAAGATAAGATTTGATAAGATTTTAAAATCCAAATAGGGAAACAAAACAGGGAATCAATTGTGATGTCCGAACGGACTTACGACTCTCATTTCGAGAACCCCAAGGTTCAAGAAATCGCTCAGACAGTAAATTAGGAAATACTAAGTAGAAAAACAAATCGACAATCAATTGTGTATGAGAGAAATCATAACGATTTTAAAACCAGATCGCGAAATCAGCAAGAAAAATTACGAAGATCAATTAAGAAATCAAAATTACCCATCCAAGAATTTTTTAAAGAAATTCCCATATCAGGAAAAGAAAAACAAGACCTAAACCCCAAGCTAAAAAAAAATAGGTCATGCCTCAAGAATTACTGGAGATTCTGTCGCTGCGTGAAGTCGCCTTAAAACACCCGAAGTCTCAGTTCGTGCAATCCATCACGTAGCACTCCACTCTTGCAATCCCTTGATCTAGCTTCCCCGCCATTGTAGAGTCCAAACTCAGACCCTGCCTCTTCTTGCGGGAGGAACACATTCGCCTCCCCATAGCCTGTGCTAATATAGCCCCTTGGCAAGCTGCACTGACCAGAAGAGATTTGGTAGGACACAATCACCTCCTTATCACTGCCCGTATGCGATTGCGTTGTCAGTAACCATGTCAAGCCTGTTGACTTCACCTCATAGAGAGTTCAGTCCCTGCCCAACGATCTGGAGGCCGCTAAATCAAGAAGAAAGAGAGACGGAGTTAAAAGGGCAAGTATGGGAAATTCCCCACCATCGAGCCCTCGTTCGCCCCACCCACCTTCTCCTCGGCACAATCCCCATTCCACTCCACTGCAAACGACGACCTGCCATCGCCCGTCCCCCTCCTATCTTGCCTCCACGAAATCTCCAACGCACGCCATCGCACGCCATCGCACACCATCGCCGTTTTACGCCCATCATGCTACTTTGCGCCGCTCTGTTCACGCTTCGCTCCGCGCTCGCCTCGCCATGCCGTGCTGCGTCGTGCTCCCGCGATTCCTGTACCGGACGGGGCGCAGCGCTCCTGGCCGCGTTGTGCCCCACCCGTGTTTTTTTTTTTTTTTTTTTTTCAGTGTACCCCGCACTGAGGACCATCACCCTCAGTATCGAGGGCAACGTGGACCCCATCACCCTCAGTATCGAGGGCAACGTGGACCACACAGCCGTGACAAGCACCAAGGCTGGGCCAACCCCCCAGCCCTACGGCCCCTACCGCATTGGAAGCGGAAGGGGACCTTCGGACCCCAGGAGCAGTAGCCCTAGGTAGGTTGTGAAAGGAAAAAGATAGGTTCCATGACATGGCCGTGAGAGAAAATATGTGGCTGTCCCCCGATCAGGAGACCAGAGTTCGACTGCGGATGGAACCAGTGGATTTTGTTCTTCAACTGGTTCCATTTGGATTCGAGGTTTGGTCCGTATGTCAACAGTTCATGGGTGTCGGACCATTGAGGCCGTCGGTCATGTCCTGGGGCTAGGTCCCACTTACACGAATTAAGCGATATTGACCGTAGATAGCAAAGCTCAACGGCCAGAATCTCTTAATCCTTGCAAGTGGGACCTTGCCCCTGGATGTGAGCTTAGCCGTCTCCATAGGATGATGGCTTTTATGTTGGCGTGGTCCCTGCTCCTGGGAGAAGTTCGGACACTCGGCAGTGCCACGGGCACCGCCACCCGCAACAGTCCGCCTCGCGAACGCCGCCGCGTTCCGCCGCCCGCCCGGCCGCCCGGCCGCCGGCCGTCGTTTGCCTGCCAGCGCACGCTGCCGCACAGTCCCAAGATCGCAGGGCCGTGGTCGTATGCGGGGACGGAGATGGGTCCGAGTTGTTAGATTTTGTCGTTTTCCTGTCAGCGCTTGCCAGCTGTCACAGGCCGGCCGCCGGCCGGCCGGCCGGCAGCGCGCACTTGTAGCTCTTCCGCAGCTTTAGCGGGAGACGGAGCATATACTGAAAAAAAAGCAGGAATTTTTCGACTTGGATCTGGACTTGATGAGAGGGTCAGAAACAGCCAAGAGCGCCCGTAATTGTGGTCAGATACATGCAAGAGAGAGAGAGAGAGAGAGAGAGAGAGAGAGAGAGAGAGAGAGAGAGAGAGAGAGAGTCCTAGAATGAGTATGCGCTGAGGGAGGGTGAACAGAGTGGTGGAGAAAGAGGGGAAGGGCGGGTTGGAGCGAACGCAAGGCAGAGGAGGAGGAGGAGGAAGAGGGAGAGAGAGGAGGGAGGGAAGGGAAGAGCATGGAAAGTTCACGAGGCGGGGACGAAGGTGATGGCGCCAGCGCGTCGAGTCCGTCGGCAGCGCCCGTGCAGCATTACACGCGTCAGGATTATCAGGCGATAGACTTCCACAACAACTGCGCTGTCAAAACGATTCTCAGCGGTGTGATGGGTAAGTTAAAAGAACATTTCTAACTCGGGGAGGAAGCTCAGACAATCTCTGGGAAAGGCGGGGGGAGGTAGTAATGAAGTTGAAAGGAGTGAGTCAGTCGGAAAAAAAGTGTAGTTCAGAGGAGAGGCCTCCCATGATGGGAATGAGATCGGTCCTTCTCTCTCTCTCTGTCTATCTCTGTTTCTTCTGTCTAGCATGCAATTCTGTTACAGAGAAAGAGCGGTGGTGAAGACGGAGGACATGGATGTGTGCGCGCGCGCGCGCGCGCGAGAGAGAGAGAGAGAGAGAGAGAGAGAGAGAGAGAGAGAGAGAGAGAGAGAGAGAGAGAGAGAGAGAGANGAGAGAGAGAGAGAGAGAGAGAGAGAGAGAGAGAGAGAGAGAGAGAGAGAGAGAGAGGGTGTATGTGGCCGATTGATTGGCTCTTCTCCACATGACATTGCAATTCAGGAACCACCCTTGTCGGCGGCGAACCCGTCCTGTTAATCAATGAACCTCTCAATCTATTTGTCTATCCACCAGTACACCTATCGATCAATGTACCCATCTATCGATTGAACCTATGCCAGTCAATGAAAAAATGTTTTTCAATTGAGGAGAGGAGGAGGAGGAGCGGAGGGAGAGGGKGGGGGGGGGAGGGATTATGGTTCTCCTCTGCATAGCACAGTTCGATCCAAATACTAATATATAAAAAAAACCAGAGAGATTGAGGGGAAGCTTAGGAAAACAGCAGGCGGGGCCAGAAGACTGCGAAAAAACGGCAATTTTCTAAGCTTGAAGGCGGGACCAGAAATTTAGGGGAACATCCAAAGAGGGAAAAAAAAAAAAAAAAGAGGACAAGGAAGACCTTGGCGCCCCTTGATAGTAGTTTGCAATGACAAGAAAAAAGGAAAAAAAAAAAAAAAGAGAGAGAGAAAGATAGTTTGCGATGTGACTTTTGTGCCCTCTGATGGGTGTCTATGAACTGCGTTGCGTGACAAGCTACGTCTGAGTGTACCTGCCTGATCAGGTCCGCTATCGAGGGGCTCTGGTGTAATTTGTTGTGTTTTTTTTTTTTTTTTTTTCCCCCTTCTCTCTCTTTTAGGAGTGAAACACCCCCTTCCCCCCCCTTTTGTCCCCCCCACCCTCCCGAAAAACAAAGAAAAAAAAGAAAAAAAAGAAAAAAAAGAAAAGAAACCAAAAAAAAGGAAAAAAAAGAAAAAAAAGGAAAAAAAGGGGAAAAAAGCAAAAAAGCAAAAAAAGAAAAAAAAGAAAAAAAAGAAAAAAACGAAAAAAACGAAAAAAAAGAAAAAAAAGAAAAAGAAGAAAAAGATCGAAGATTGTCAAGTAAAATGTCGTTTTCTTGGGAATCTTTTGCGGGCAAGGGATCCAGTTGGCCAGTCAGGAAAGGAGGGGGGGACTCCGGGTCAGGGATAATCTGGAACGTCCAATTTTTTCGAGACTGCCAATGATTGAATGGTTGTTGATGGATGTACTAGATTGATCTTGTCGTCGTTCATCGAACGATGGAAGATCGATCAATGAGGTTGGGAGTAGAGTTCGTTGATTGATCTCCCGATTGATTACCTGGTTGCTTTCTTGCTTGACTGGTTGTTCATGAAAGATCGATCTTTGATTCAATTTTGAGAAGGGTGATTGATCGATCGATCGATTGGTTGATTGGAATGACTTATCGCTTGGTGGATTGGTTGATTGATTGATTGATTGATTGATTGATCGATTGATTGATTTTTGATTGTTTTTTGATTGATTGATTGATTAATTGATTGATCGATTGATTGGTTGGATTGTTTGTTTGATTGATTGATTGATTGATTGATTGATTGATTGTATTGATTGATTGATTGATCGATTGATTGGTTGGATGGATGGATGGATTGATTGATTGATTGATTGATTGATTGATTGATTGATTGATTGGTTGATTGGTTGGTTTGATTGATCGATTGGTCCAGGAGGCCGATGGAAGGTCGATCAATTACTGGAGCACTTGACTACCGGTTTCTCTCGAACAAGACTTGCGCGCCGATCGTGAATGTATACAAACTATCTTTCCGGCTCGATTACAGTCGTGATGAGTGTGCGTTGTGTTCGGGGGAAGATTGATTGCATGGCCGAATGGTCAATCGACTGATTAATCGTCGATTGAAGATCGATCTATCAATCGGTCACTGGATTAAGGTTGGCCATCGTAGTAGCGGGATCAATCAATTGATTGACGAGTCAGTAAATCGACAAATCAATCAATCAATCAAACAGTGAAGTAATCGATCGATCAATCACTCAATTACTTGATCAATCTCTCAATCACTCAATTAGTCGATCCGTCACTCAATTAATCGATCCCTCACTCAATTAATTAATCGGCCAATGCAGTCGGCCAACTGATCAGCCAGAAACCCATTGTTGTAATTACTCAATCAATCATTCAATCATTCAATCAATCAATCAATCACTCAATCAATCAATCAATCAATCGATCGATCAATCAGTCAGTCAGTCAGTCAGTCAATCCATCAGTTGACCAATTAATCAATCAATCAATCAATCAACTGACTCGACAAACCCATTGCTGTAATTATTCAATCAATCAATCAATCAATCAATCAATCAATCAGTCAATCGATCCATCAGTCAGTCAGTCAATCCATCAGTCAACCGATCAATCAATCAATCAATCAATCAATCAATCAACAGACTTGACGAAAGTAGATAATTCCGTTTTATGTTTGCGCCTGTGTTTTAGTGGACCTAAGTTTCGGTCTTTATATATATATATATAGATATAATACATTTGCTATGTATAGATTCGCTGTGTATCGATTTGCTATTTACTGGTCGGCTGTCCTTTTTTTTGATGTCTCTTTTGCTGGGCCGTTCTTGTGAGCATCGAGAGAGGACAGGGTTTTTGTGGTGTGGCCGTCGTTGTCTCTGTTTTTTTCCTTCTTTCTTTGTGCAAACGACTGTTTTCGATCGACTCGTCCTACGGACGATGTCGGATAAGGGTCGGGATGCGGAGGAGGGTTGGGATCGGGATAGGTTCGAATGTTGCGCTTAAAGAACAGGTGGCGGGATGGGACTCCTGATGGGATTTCTATTTGGAGGGTACGATCCTTGTTTTGCGGACGAGGCCTTGTCTATGCGACAGAAGCTGTGGATCTCGACAAAGAGTGCGGGTGTCAGAAGCCTGCAGATGGCCAAAGGTTTCGCTTTGGTCGGTGCCATCTATTCTGGAACGGAATGCATCGTAGAAAAGGTGCGTCTTTTCCCCCTCTCTGTGCGTCTATCACTCTGTATGTATGTGTCTGTTGTCATCTTGGCTATACACAACTCCACGAAAGAAGCCCGACTGCGCCAGACTGTTTCGTTGGGCTTTCGCCGATTCATCGGGCGGGAGGTTGAACCTGTCGAACAGTCTCCTCCACCACGACTCATCAGGAGCTTCAACCTCGATAGTCTCCCCACGATGCATTAGACTGATGAGATAAGTACTCTCACCACATCGCTCAGAATTAGCGATACCCCTTAGAGAACTGATCGACTTTACTTTCTCTGTTTCTGTGTGTGTGTGTGTGTGTGTGTGTGTGTGTGTGTGTGTGTGTGTGTGTGTGTGTGTGCGTGTGTGTGTGTGTGGGGGGGAGAGAGAGAGAGAGAGAGAGAGAGGGGCAAGAAGGAAAAGATGCGGGAGGGAGGTGGAAGTGAGCTGCAGCGGTCAAATCTGCACTCGCATGGGGTCAGGAAAGGGAGGGGGAAAAAAAAAAAAAGCTGCAACGACTAACCTATATTTATCCTATGGACCCGCCTACGTTTGTTCTATAGACCCGTCTATACTGATCGTATAAGTCGTTTTATATTATGTCCTGAAAACACGCCTATATTTATCCTATAATCCCGCCTATGTTTATGCTATAAACCCACCTATAGGTAGGCTATCAGCCGGGCCGCCCGAGTCATGTTGTTTTCCGGGGCGGGCCGGCCGTGCAAGGACCAGGGAAGGTCCCAGCAAAAAAAAAATAAAATAAAAAAAATATATATATATGCAGAAAAATAAACTGAGCAACTTTTGCCTCAGGGTCACATCGAAATTCTTTACCAAATTCAAAATAAAAATTGAAAAAAAAAAAAGTTTTTGTTTCTTTATTTGCTAGGCGGCCAGAGTGGCCCGGGTCCACTTGCCCGGCAGGGCCAAAAAGGAATAAAAAATGAAAAAATAAGAAATATTTTTAATTTAATTTTTTATTTTAAAATTGGTACAGAATTTCGATGTGACCCTGAGGCAAAAGTTGTTCAATTTATTTTCTGCATAACATAGTTTTTTTCCCCATTTTTTTTTTTTTTTTTTTGGGCCGGTTCCTTCCCTGGTCCTTGCACGGCCGGGCCGCCCGGGAAAATAGGGTGACCCGGGCGGCCCGGCTGGTAGCCTAGTTTATTTGTTTATTTCTTTTTGGCCCGGCCGGGCAAGTGGTTCCAGGCCACTCTGGTAGCCTAGGCCTAAACGCGCCTTTATTTTATTCTATAAGCCCGGCTATATTTATTTATTCATATAAACCCGCCCCTATCCGGCAAACCTCCCTATATATCCTATAAACCCTCTAAAAACCCGCCTATACCCCCCTAAGCCCCCCGAAAAACCCGCCGATACCTCTACAAAGTAGTATAAACCCGCGTATGCTTATAAACCGGCATGCCTTTTTATCCTATACCCCCCCCTAAATCCCCGACTGTAGCCTATCAACCCGCCTATATATACTACGCGTATAAATCTGCCTATATTTATCCTATAAACCCGCGTATATCCTATAAGCCCGTGTAAAGTCTATAAGCCTGTCTAATTCTATTAGCCCCCCTATATTTGTTGTATAGACCCATCTTAATCCGATAAATCCGCCCAGGCACAGTGACTGTCCGTGTTCCAGTCCGGGTGCCGATTGCAGGCAACGGGACTCAGCGATGATGGTCTGCATGCATGTGCACACTACTCATATTAAAAGGACCTCGGCGACTGAATATGATCGTCATTACGGTCAGATACGTCCACGAAAGTGCTAGTGCAGCTGTATCTTACGAACAGGCAGTGTTTGTTCTCATCTCACCAAAAAAAAAAAAAAGAGAACGGGAAAAAAGGTCACAGAGAAGTGCAGAGAATGCAACAGTGGTTTTAGAATGGGTCTCGCTCCACTGCTCAATATATTGCTTACGTGTGTCTGGACCGACACTTGTCCACATAAATTCAGGCTGGGTCAGCATTTTGCATGTATATAGACCAGCTCCAGATCCTGATACATTTTGAATGTTGTGTAGCGGAGCGGGGCCCAATGTCAGGCAGGGGTAATGTCCCATTACTACTGTCAGCCTGCGATTAAGAGAGACTGTCCGTACAGAAGGACGAAGATCAGGATGGACGTACGGCTTGGGTAGTCTGTCTTAGTCCGTTTAGGGGAAGTGGGGGGGGACCAGGGCCCAGGCCATGATCTCAGGTGGCCTTTTTTTTTTTTTTTTTTTTTTTTTTTGGGATGGACGGCCTTGAGATCCAGTGGCATTCAGGAGGTCTTGGGTTCAATCCCCCATAATTGGCCTCATGTACCTTCCTGGGCAAGCTTGGCACCCTCCACCTAGAGATAGGCCAGCCGTTGGTACCCCGAGCGGCACCGAGCAGTGGCTGCTGATGTTCGTACGGGGAGGGGACCGGAGGAGGGGAGGCACAGCGACTGGTGTGCCCAGAGAAGACGCTCGGTCCTGATGCTACTACCGGCTGACCCCTGGCCGGTATCACCCACCTGCTCTAGCAGGTATTGCACCTGCTGGTGGCTGCAACTCCCACTTGTTCTCTCGTTGGAGGCTTGGGCACGGATGTGGCTGCTGCGGGTTCCCCCCCGTAATACTATACTGCCAATTTAAAAGAAGGCCTGAAAGGCTGTCCTATCCAGATTCGACAGGTAATTGAATTGGTTGGGCTTACAGGAATTAGCCTTTATTTAGAAGAAAAAAAAAAAGCATCGAACTGACCTTGGTCTGTTTATCAAAAGTTCATGGGTATACCGTTCAGCCACATGGGGTGGGAAGGACTGATTCTTTTTTTTTTTTTTTTTTTTTTTTTTTTCCGACTGATTCTTGAGCAAGGCTGTGGTCGTTCAAAACGGGCATAGCTCACAATGCCTTCAGAGGATTCTGATTCTGGTTCTGGAGTAGCTTTTTTTTAAGTTAAAGTTTTTTTTTTTTTTTTTTTTTCAAACCACCACTACCTTTCTCATATGTCACAGTGGGGCCGAGGGACTCAAATTCAAAGCTGGGCTGCGACGTGCCGTCTATGAAAAATATCGAGGGCGGTGCGGCGGCTATTTTTCAGTAGTAGGCTACTAGATCCCCACGGCCCACATATGGGAAAGGTAGCGCCGGTTTAATAAATAGTTTTTATTTTTTTTTAATAATAGGTATTGAATATAGTCTGATCCTAGGCTACCAGCCGGGCCGCCCGGGTCCTGGGTGGCCAGCCCGTGCAAGGACCAGAGAAGCATTTCAGCAAAAAAAAAAAAAAAAAAAAAAAAACCTCCAAAAAACCCGAAAAAAGAAACTATGTTATGCAGAAAAAAAAACTGAACAACTTTTGCCTCAGGGTCACATCGAAATTCTTTACAAAATGTTAAATAAAAAAATAAAAATAAATACAAAACTATGTTTTTTTATTTTATTTTTAATTTATTTTTTGGCCTGGCCGGGCAAGTGACCCCGGGCCACTCTGGTAGCCTAGGTCTGATCCAAAATCTTTTTTTTTTTTTTTTTTTTTTTTTTTTTTTAAGACTTAGTGGCTTTCGTTTTTGTCCAATGATCAAGAATCAGTTGAGTCCGTCCGGACTGTCCAATGATTGTACCACCATGTTGAACATGGCGTTTAAGCAGAGTACTCACCTTATCGCCTTTCTCACAATCTCCTCCTCCTCCTCCTCCTTCTCCTCCTCCTTCTCCTCCTTCTCCTCCTTCTCCTCCTTCTCCGTCTCCGTCTCCTTCTCCTTCTTCTTGTGCTTGTGCTTGTGCTTGTCCTTGTCATTGTCGCTATTGCCAGTGTTTTTGGGTCGGTGTTTTCCCCTTTTTTTCTCGCTTTTTGTTCTCACTCCTCTTCCTCCCGCTGCTGCTATCTGATCTGTTGTTTGCTGGGTCTGTCATGACTGGTTGCAGGCTCGAGCAAAACATGATATGAACAACACCGTTATTGCTGGGTGCATTACTGGGGGGAGTTTGTCTGCAAAAGGTTAGTTCTCCTGCTCTTTGTTTGGGAAACACGTCCAACTGTTGGCTTGTTCAATGGGCTCTGAAATTCGCAATAGGTGTGATTCGCCTCCTTGCCTCTGTAGAAGAAGAGCACTTGATTTACCCGTACAGCAGGGATGCAGATGAAAGGAAAACCGTGCACCTTTTTTTTTTCTTTTTTTTTTTAAGTCTTCGGAAGTGGGGTTGCATTAATAGTATATAATAATAATATAATAATAATTTCGACCAAAGGAATGTAGTTCTGTTTTTTTGGTGTTCTTTTCTGGGTAGCAACCCCAACAACTTGTGTGATTCATTCTGCTGCTGATGCTGGCTCCTCTCTCCTCTCCTCTTGATCTGGCGGATAATAAGTATTAATAACAATAAATAATGGAGTATTAAAATTTAATAACAACAAATGATTGATTTTTAGTAATTTTTTTATATTATTAATAATGTAATATGGAGTCTTATGGGGTCAGTGCTGTGGTGCAGGTAAGCAAAAGCTGGTGGGGGKGGGGGGGGGGGCAGGGGGGGAAGGAAAGAGAATGATTCCTGGGCTGCGGCTATGGTATTGGGGTCGTGCTCTGATGTGGGGGGGGGGGGGTGGATGAAGAAGTATTTCACAAGGGACTTTAGTCTCACCCCTTCCCCCCCCCCCCCCCCCCCCCCCCCACCGTCTTCCCACTGTCTTTACAGTTGTTTTTTGTTCAAATTTCAGTCTATATACGGCGATGATCACCGTGCATTGTATTTGGGTAAAGTTGGTAGCCTGCTGCTTAAGTCTTGTTGGAGAGTCAAAGGTTGTGAGTTCGATTCCTCCTCGGAGTCAATCTCTCACTCACTTGGATGCTGAATGCGAGGGGAGGGGAGGGGCAGGGGAGGGGAGTGGCAGGGCAGGGCCGCGCAGGCAGGGGGGAGCGTATGTTTAGGTGGGTGGCCGCCCCGGGTTGTGGGCCAGAGTCCCGGCAGACCTTTTGCTCGGAAGGGCGGGCCTACTGACATATTTTTTCCTATACGAGCCCTGGAGGCTTGGGTAGGTGACTGTGGGCTGTTGATGCATCTTATCAATGGTGGGCCGGGGGGAGCATATGTTTAGGTGGGTGGCCTCGGGTCGTGGGCCAGAGTTCCGGCGGAGCTTTTGCTCGAAAGGGCGGGCCTACTGACATATTTTTTCTATACGAGCCCTGGAGGCTTGGGTAGGTGACTGTGGGCTGTTCATGCATCTTATCAATGGTGGGCCGGGGGAAGCATATGTTTAGGTGGGTGGCCTCGGGTCGTGGGCCAGAGTTCCGGCGGAGCTTTTGCTCGAAAGGGTGGGCCTACTGACATATTTTTTCCTATACGAGCCCTGGAGGCTTGGGCAGGTGACTGTGGGCTGTTCGTGCATCTTATCCATGGCGGGCATTATGCTCTTGGACAAGCGGTCAAGGATGGTTTGATTCGGTTTACTTGGAACATGTTTGTGTGAAACACACCCCACATGTGACCCGTTCTGCACGGGGACTTGCAAGAGCGAGGGGACTCTGTGCGGCATTCCGACGGTTGTGATTGGTCTGTCATTTCACTTTTTTTTTTTTTGTCGGTCCGTTTTGTTGCCACCGTATGCCTTGATGTGCTTGCTGTCTGGTACTTACTCCTTTGCTCTGTGAGGATGACCATCAGTTAATAATCACTCAGCTCTCAGCCCCTCTGCCATCGCACCCAGTAATTGTTGTGTGTCAGTTTGCCTGACTGTATGTGTGTGGCCAAGCCGGCTCGCCGACCTGTCTTTGTGTCTTTTTTGTGTTTTTCTTCGTTCTTCTGCGGGGGCCATGCTTCTTACCTTCTCTGCATCGTTCCACTTCTAAAGGATGCGGCGAAGGGCAGTCTGTCAGTTTTTATGTTTTTTTTTGTGCAAAATGACGAACTCGGTCTCTTCGATGGACTTGCCAAGTTGTCCTTCGAGAGAGGTCTTGCTCCGCTCTGACGCGGACAATGGGTAGCTGCGCTTTCTTTCTTGAAGTTGGGATCTCTGACCGCTTGTGTGTGATGAGAGAGAGGTCTTGGTTTGGACTCCGATCTGGGGAGGATCATGGACAGGTGTTCGTTCTTTATACGTTGCGATCTCTGACTTTTCTTGCTGTGGCGTGGTTGTGTGATCGTGCGTGATTGGCCGGCCGGCGATCGATCGATTGATCGATCTGCAGGGGGACCGAGGGCGGCCTGTGCTGGATGTGTTGGGTTTGCAGCCTTCTCGGTGCTGATAGACAAAGTGATGCAAGGAGATTGATGGATGATGATGTATCTGCCCTTCTTTTTGGGACGGTGCACAATGTACATCCACCAAATGGATGGTCAGGGGGGGACATCCATGCGGGAGACGGTGAGAGGCGTGAAGAGTCGTGGGTTCCGCGGAAGAGAGTAGGAAATTTTTCTAGGAGGTTTGTTTGCTAGGGAGGGAGTTTTCAGGCAGAGAGGTTGGCATATCCGTACAATGTACGTCTTCTCTGTCGCCAAGGACAGACCTGGATTCTTGTTGAGACTTGATTCTTATCCTTTTTCTATGCTTGCATCTTGATTCCACACTCCTTGCTTTCGCCTACTGTCCGGTTGTTTTCCTTCCTTTGCGTTCCCTTTGTCTTCCTTTGCTTTGTCTTTTTCTTTCCACCTTCTCTCTCTGTTGTTTATCGGACTTCATCCCCTCCCCTTTTGCTCTGCCTCTTTTTCACCCCCTACAAGAGGGTGGGCGCTTATGGCATGCGGGAATGCAGGCAGCTCAGCTTGTGCTCAACTTCATCCATGCGGCAAGCCTTGTACGTGAAAGAGGCACAGTTCAGGGGGAGGGGGGGGAGCTTAGATAAGAAATGATAAAAAAAAAAGAGTGGTTCCTGTGCGCTCCTCATGCTTGTCTTGTGTATTTTTTTGTCATTTGTTTCGTCAAGTGGCCTCCTCTTTTTTTAGTCGATAGATATCTAATATACTATTAATATCATATAATAAATATTAATAATATATATTCATTCATATATATAGCACACAGATTGCCTGTGACATTATTTTGTGCTATCATCAGCAAGTCTGTTTTTTCAATTTTTTGCTGAGTTCGATCTGTTCTACTGTTTGCTGAGAGATCGAAACTGGCCTGAAAGTTGGAAGTTGAGACTCCTTTTCTTTTTCGTTTCTTATATTTATTTTTTATTCCTCCACCTCCTTGTCAAGGCATCTCATATAGCTAGCTGGAACCTATGAAGAAAAAGTTATAAAAAATAATCAAAAAGTTCTGAAGCAGCATCGTCCATCTCGTTGCCCGCTTGCACCTCTTTTTTAGTTCCAAGGCTTCTTTGACGTTTTTCTTTGTGGCTCCGGTCTGTTATTTTCACGTTCAAATTTCAACGTAGAAAGCTCCTTGATTGTCTTTGTCCTTCTGTTTTCTGCGCCCTTTCTTTCTCTTTTGCTTCCAAGAAAGTTGATTTGTGTATTCACTGAGACAGTGAGACCTCCTTTCCGGGTTTTTTTTTTTTTTTTTTTTT